TGTTTTTTTTTTATTTTTCAAACAATACAGTAGTCACATACAAGGCAGTTCATATTTGTCTCAGTGAATCATTAATTTTTGACAGACACCTGTACAAAATACTTGGACAAAAGCCAGCTAAGATATTCTGTTATCTTGCATGTTTTATGAATTTATGCGTGTCTAAATGCAGCACTTTTTTTCAGAGATATCAGAATTTCTTTGAATAAAGCTTAAAATAATTAAACAAATTAGATATCAATTAAGAGCATTCCCACTGCCGTTTCATTCCCAAAACTTGTTTTAATTCAAAATTGATTATGACTATGATAAAGGAATAACATTATATAGCAAAGGGCAAAGTCACCAGAGTTCAACTATGTTTTTATCTTCAGGTGCGAATACATTGTTATAGCCAACCAGTTACTGTGCACACATGCAAGCACAAAATGTAAACCAGTATGACAGCATATAAACCCTCCCGTAATCAGATTGCCCTGCATCAGTTCTAATAATCAGTGCCTTTAAAGTTTCTTAAATCATGTAAAAGTGATTGCTTCCAATCATGCAGATATTCATAGCAACATTCAATTTATGAATTTTTTTGACATATACTCTTTCCTTTAAAAGTTGTAGTTTTGCTCAACTACTATCTCCTTTTTTTTCTATCTAGTTCCTCTTGCCAGTGTTCAAAGTCATGTTTGAAGAAAGTATATAAAAGTGTTCTTACCAAATGAACAAAGTTTGCTGTAGAAAGAATACCATAACGAAAAACTACAACACAACCATGCAAAGCAGTTGTAAGTTTCCATTAGAATCAATTTCAAATATCTTAATATGAATAATTAAAGCCACAAGTAGTATCAGTTGGGCCCAAGCTTTCAGGCATCTGTTTCATAATTAATGAGGTCACATGTTGCCATATTTTCACCATGTTCTGTTGATATTGGTTGTCCTTATATTAGTGCTGTGTTTAACAAGTGAAAAACTCAAAGATTGAATTATTAAAAGTACATATCATACAGAAAATGTACTGTTTCAGGTTTTATATGCTCTACTGTTAAAGATGCACATTTTGATACAAGTACAGTATATATATTTAAAAAGATGAAATATTTGT